GGGCCATTAGCTCCGGTGGATGGTAGCTAGCTCTAGGGGGTTTTGTCCGTCTGCCCCCTTCTTTTTATACCCTCGATGACATATCAATATTTCTTACAATAGGATTGATCCTATGTTGTCAAAACCATCAGACTTAAATTTAATAGGTTTTTGGTACCTAAGTACCAGGTTCAAATTGATTGGTTAAATCCAAAAGCCTGTTGTCTTGGTAACAAGTGCTGCTTAGCCTGCTAACTATACGGCCTTTTGATACAAGTATTTCAATTTGGGTGCTCTCTATGTACTTGCAAATTTTCAAGCTGTTGCTCACCGACATCCACTTTAAATCTCAAAGCATCTGATCAGTTAAAAGGACCATGCAATGCTTTCCTCCCTAGCATCTCGCAAACAGCAAATGGTATGCTATTCCAATAAATACAAGTCCCACTTACATAAAAAAAATTTAGTCTCTCAAAATTACGGCCTGATTACATGTCTTCTAGAATGTTCTCTGCCTTCTCCATTGATTCTTCTGTCAGGAATGCCTTCTCTATCAATCATTCTGTCAGGAATATTAACTAGCTGTGTCGTTGGTACTGTTGGTTAGATGATGCTTTCTTGAAGACAAGGAGGCTGTGAGAGCCAGCGATTCTCTGAGAGCTGAGGGCCGTTAGCTCTAGCAGATGGCAGATAGCTCTGTGGGCTTTGTCCAACTGCCCCTTCTTTTCATACTCTTGATGACATATTAATATTTCTTACAATAGTATCGGTCCTATGTTGTCAAAGCCATCAGACTTAAATTTAATAGGTTTTTCATATCTAAGTACCTGGTTCAAATTGATTGGATAAATTCAAAAGCCTGTTGTCTTGGGTAAAAAGTGCTGTTTGGCCTGCTAACTGTATGGCCTTTCGGTTCAAATGTTTCAATTTGGCACTGTGTACTTGCGCACTTTCAAGCTGCTGCTCGCAGACGTGCATTTTAAATCTCTAAGCTCAGAAAAAAGTGCATGATCTTTTAAAAGGACCATGCAATGCTTTCCCCTCTACCCCCCTAGCATTTCATAAAAACTAAATTCTAACTTCCTGCCTCCCAATTCACAAGTACTGTACCCAACTTTGCAACACTACAGCGTGTGTATACAATTCCAGGATGTTTTTCTGTCTTGTGATATACCAGGGACTGGCAATGAATCCTAATGGAAGACTTTTTGAAATAAATGAGTTGATAACAAGTGGGTTCTGATACTCTAAGCTCTGTTCCAAGATGTTGCAGAGTGTAAAGGTCTGTTCACAACATGATCAGCCTGTTACTCACATGGGCTACTGTCTACTTCTGCTTTAACTTATTGAGGAGCGCTATGCTGAAGACCTTGCCAGGTACTAATAGCAATGTTGTGCCCCTCCAGTTATTGCAATCGATGAGGTTCCCTTTTGTGGACAGGTTGACAATTCCTATTTGTCTTCAGTTATCCAGAATATCCTCAAGTCTAGATTTACTGACCATGTCTATGCATTTCACTAATGCAGTGTTCTTGCCTTGGTTCAACAACTCTGGTGGTATCTTGTTGATGCCAGGTGTTTTGATGCTCTTCAGGCTCTTGATGGTTCTGTGGACTTCTGATTTGACAAATTCTCCCAGGTTGACTTCTAATTTCTGCAGATGATCATACAGGAATTGACTGATACAAGAAGCAGGTCAATGTTCAGCTGCTAAGATGTGGTATGGTCTTCGAATTCAAATAAGAAGTTAGGGCTGAGATGGTTTAGGATATCCTGAAAGTGTTCCATCCATCTTGCTCTTGCTCCTCACTCATCAACAGTGTCTTACTGCCTTAGCTCAAGGTCAGAATGGGGATGTCTGCTGATGCCTGCATAATATTCAGTATTCTCCAACCTAGGAAGCAACATCTCCAACAGAGGTGATGCAAAGTTCGACATTTATACAAAAGTTATCACTACGGCATCTGGTCAGTGTGGGAATCTCAACCATCAACATGGCCATGAGACTGCTACACTATATGTCCACTGTCATATGAATTGCATAGAAGAGAACAGTAAAAGTGCCACATGACTTAGACACCTAACACTAGTATTGTCTACCTAAGACCCTAGTTATCACATGGAAAAACAACATGTTAGAGAAATGATTGAAACTAGCAGGACACATTTATTCTCTTGAATATATGCCCTGCTGGAATAGCAGTTAAATAGACATCACCAGATGGGACAAGAAGACTGGGCCAGCCAAAGAAGACCTGGCAAAGTACATTTAAAGAGAATCTTCAAGAGCAGAACATCACCTGGGCTAGAGTGAAAGAAATTGCTATGGTCTCAGGCTGGAGGTGAAGACTAGCCATCTATTGTCCTTTTGGGACAGAGGAACTAAGTTTGAGCAACAGCATCTATCTTGTCACCTGCTGCTGTTGTCTGGAATGATATTAAAAGATTAATTTATTTTCCTTAGCACAGTAGCAATCATTGTAATAGGGGAGTTGTATCTTGTCAGAAAATACACAGCCCTTGTGAATGGGTAATGTGGCCCTGAATGACATTTTACTGCTAGGCATCCTACGGAGCATGGCACTGCAACCTCAGCTGCATCTCTATTAAGCGGTAGCCACTGCTTAAGCTGCAGCAAGACGAGGAATCCCTCCATCATGAGATGTCTTCAAAGACCAAGTAGGCTCTTTTATCATGGTGCTAGGGCCCAGCAAGCAGGCCTTAGTGATCAGAGAGGAAGGTGGTGGTGTGTGCACTTTGCATAACTGTGGAGGGGTGAAGGGAGCACCACTGAGTGAGGAGGGCCCTCTCTTGGCCATCCAGTGTCCATAAAAGAGGTTCAACTGCTAAAAAGTTGCCAGATTTTACACTATTAACTTCCTATTTGGCAGCAGTTAAAAAGCTGGTAAAATATATGTGGATGGAAAAGAGGCTGGAGGTAGCCCATAACTGGCAACTCAGCATTTGACCACACCACTATCATTCTCAGCCCTTCTACCTCCCAGTCATTTCCCAAGAGATGGCAAAACCTAGCCCAATGCATGCATCAAAATGATAAACTGGTAGAAGCATAATGTTCATTTGTGCTTCTTAAATGATGCTTCAAAATGCTTCAAAGTTTTTTGTGCTGAAAACATCCACTGGGACTCATGCTGAACCGGAGAACTGTATGTGACTGGATCACATATTAACTCTTGGAGCCAAGGATAAAACCCATTAAGGAGCAACTAAAATTATTCACAAGACAATGAGCAAAGGCTGTGTGTTTAGTGTGTAATGTATTGCTGTTTACATCATTTGCATTCCTACTTCTCTAACTATGACAGATTTCATTCATTATTTACAACACTTTTGTTTTCTGTCCATAAAAATGTTTAATATTTAACTGGTTGAACATTTGTTGCCCAAACCAATTACATATCCACTCCTTTGTATGGCATTGTGTGATAAGAGACGACTGCTTCTGGGACTGAAATGATTAACAACCAACGTATGAGGTGCACACAATACTGTCTGTGTTGCAATGCTGAGTTGCAGGGCACCACGAACTAAGAAAATTACCCAAGTCCAGAGTCGCGTGTGAAAGCAGGTGTCCAGCTCACTCTACCTGTTGGGGTGTGAATGAACCATCCCTGTGATACTCATCTTCATGGACGGTTTCAACCCACTTTTGATCTCCCCGACAAAGGGCTTTGTCTATAAAATGAAACCAATCCACACGGTAAATGAAAGAAACAAGATTAAACTGCAATGATATCAAAATGCATTTTAACCACTTTAGGAGTTATTTAAGATCTATAAAATGGGAAAAGCGAATGAAAGCTAAATGAAGTACACACTCACTTGAAGGAACAACTTGGCGGTTATGAATGAACACGTAACATATGCAAGGTTGTAACCATGTATGCCTTTTCACCCGCCAAAATATACTTCATTCATAACATTTGTAAAAGTACGTTCCAAAAAATTTCAAATTGAATGTTACACAAAGCTCAACAGAATTCAAATTTTCTGCACACAATCATATTCCATTCTGATATGCTGGTTCAGATCTCAAAGTCAACATTGACTGCGCTGACTTGACACAACTTTTTCAAATAACGGAGCCTAGATTATCTTTACAGTTTATACTCAGCACGGTCGAAAGCAGTTTTCGAAGTGGCACAAACGGGTGTTTGTTTTGGCATCGTGTCTTGCTGACTTTTTTTCTAAAACAGGTAGAAAATTCAAACCGACAATGTATAAATAAAGTGGAAGTTTAGATACAGCAGCACAAACTGCGATCGCCGATCCGAATGCACATGTCAAGCAAGTTCGTTCAAATGACTTTGCCATGCTGACTTTAATAACAGTAAAGACAACATTTTTTAAAAGCCCGATCATTAGGAGGGAAATATATAATCATGTCAAAATGATCACCTTTTGCGATCTAAATTCAAAACTTGTGTACTTTAAAAAAATAGTTCGCACTTACAGATGATGAGTTGTCGTTATCCGCCATGTTTTGTGTAGGTTTACTTTGGTTAATAGATAAGGGTTTGAGGTCGGGGTGAGTTACACTAGTTGCAGTGGAGCTGCCTGGGCTTTACAGGGTTATCTCCATTTCGAAGCCGCTCTGGGCCGCGCCTGACTCCATCCTCCCTCACTCTGGACAGCCGCTGCTGCCATGGTAACCCGGTTGGGCGGGGCCTACTTCACCACCAGCCGCACCCCCCACGGCGCTCTCTACCCCGCCCACTCACGGCGTTGTCACCATGGTGACGCGGCACGGCGGACCTGCCCACTTGACTCTGCTCCCGTCGCCCCTCTCTTGGGCTACATGCCCCATAGCCCCGCCCCCCCAGCGCACCGTTACCACCGTAACTCCGCATGGGCGGGACATCCTGCCGAATAACCCCGCCCCTTAACCCATGCCCATCCCTCTCTTCGCACAGTTGCCATTGTAACCACGCTGGGCGGTCTTAACCGCCGGCCCCGCCTCCCACTACAGTTAGGCCCCTACTGTTACCATAGTAACACTGCTGACTTGTTCGACCTCCTTCAGCTGCTGCAGGACCAGATAAACGTAATCTGGCTGCAACACATTTGTTGCAGACCTTCCAAGGAAAAAAAAACCCAGTTTGGTCCGTTTAATGATGACAAAGGTGTCGTCCACGTAGCATATCCATAGTTTTGGTTAGATTAGCGGAAGGGCCATACTTTCAAGTTTCTTGCATAGAGGTGCTGGTTAATTTAGAGATAGTAGGAACTGCAGATGCTGGAGAATCCGAGACAACAAGGTGCAGGGCTGGATGAACACAGCAGGCCAAGCAGCATCATAGGAGCAGAGAGGCTGACGTTTCGGACCTAGACCCTTCATCAGAAAAGGGGGAGGGGAAGGGGGTTTTGAAATAAATAGGGAGAGAGTGGGAGGCGGATAGAAGAGGGATAGAGGAGAGGATAGGTGGAGAGGAAACAAACAGGTCGAAGAGGCGGGGATGGGGCCAGGAAAGGTGAGTGTAGGTAGGGAGTTAGGAAGGGGATAGGTCAGTCCAGGGAGGACGGACAGGTCAAGGGGGCGGGATGAGGTTGGTCGGTAGGAGATGGAGGTGCGGCTTGAGGTGGGAGGAGGGGATAGGTGGGAGGAAGAACAGGTTAGGGAGGCAGGGACGAGTTGGACTGGTTTTGGGATGCGGTGGGGGGAGGGGAGATTTTGAAACTTGTGAAATCCACATTGATACCATTGGGCTGCAGGGTTCCCAAGCGGAATATGAGTTGCTGTTCCTGCAACCTTCGGGTGGCATCGTTGTGGCACTGCAGGAGGCCCAGGATGGACATGTCGTCTGAGGAATGGGAGGGGGAGTTGAAATGGTTCGCGACTGGGAGGTGCAGTTGTTTGTTGCGAACCGAGCGTAGGTGTTCTGCAAAGCGGTCCCCGAGTCTCCGCTTGGTTTCCCCGATGTAGAGGAAGCCACACCGGGTACAGCGGATGCAGTATACCACATTGGCAGATGTGCAGGTGAACATCTGCTTGATGTGGAAAGTCTTCTTGGGGCCTGGGATGGGGGTGAGGGAGGAGGTATGGGGGCAGGTGTAGCACTTCCTGCGGTTGCAGGGAAAAGTGCCGGGTGTGGTGGAGCTGGAGGGGAGTGTGGAGCGGACAAGGGAGTCACGGAGAGAGTTGTCCCTCCGGAAAGCAGATAAGGGTGGGGAGGGAAAGATGTCTTTGGTGGTGGGGTCGGATTGCAGATGGCGGAAGTGTCGGAGGATGATGCGTTGGATCCGGAGGTTGGTGGGGTGGTACGTGAGGACGAGGGCGATTCTTTTTTGGTTGTTATTGCGTGGACGGGGTGTGAGGGATGAGGTGCGGGAGATGTGGGAGACACGGTTGAGGGCGTTCTCGACCACCGAGGAGGGGAAGTTACGGCCCTTGAAAAACGAGGACAACTGAGATGTACGGGAGTGGAATGCCTCATCCTGGGAGCAGATGCGGCGGAGGCGAAGGAATTGGGAATAGGGGATAGCATTTTTGCAGGAAGGTGGGTGGGAGGAGGAATACACACTTTGGCCTGCTCGTAATAAAATTGAAACATTAGTTGTGGTTTGACCATTCTTATAATTGAGGACGCAACCTTGAAAGTAAGGTTATAGCATTAAAGGTAATGATCTCGTGAGTTCAATGATTGCTAACTGATTTTCATCTGTGGAAACTTCAAACACAGGTGCTATGGACAAGCATGGAACCCACAGAACGTGCAGCCCTCCGCTCCCTCCGCTCCAATCCCAACCTCATCATAAAACCCGCGGACAAGGGAGGTGCTGTTGTAGTATGGCGCACTGACCTCTACATTGCTGAGGCCAGACGCCAGCTCTCTGACACCTCCTCCTACCGCCCCCTTGATCATGACCCCACCCCCGAGCACCAAACCATCATCTCCCAAACCATCTACAACCTCATCACCTCAGGTGACCTCCCACCCACGGCCTCCAACCTCAACGTTCCCCAACCCCGCACCGCCCGCTTCTATCTCCTTCCCAACATCCACAAACCTGAATGCCCTGGTCGACCCATTGTCTCCGCCTGCTCCTGTGCCACCGAACTTATCTCCAACTATCTGGACTCCATTTTCTCCCCCTTGGTCCAGGAACTCCCTATCTACGTCCGTGACACCACCCACGCCCTCCACGTCCTCCAGAACTTGCAATTCCCCGGTCCCCAACACCTCATCTTTACCATAGACGTCCAGTCCCTATATACCTGCATTCCCCATACAGATGGCCTAAAGGCCCTCTGCTTCTTCCTGTCCCGCAGGCCTGACCAGTCCCCCTCCACTGACACCCTCATCCGCTTAGCCGAACTCGTCCTCACCCTCAACAACTTCTCTTTCAATTCCTCCCACTTCCTACAGACAAAGGGGGTGGCCATGGGTACCCGCATGGGCCCAAACTATGCCTGCCACTTTGTAGGTTACGTGGAACAATCCCTCTTCCGTACCTACACTGGCCCTAAACCCCACCTCTTCCTCCGTTACATTGATGACTGTATCGGCGCCGCCTCGTGCTCCCACAAGGAGCTCGAACAGTTCATCCACTTCACCAACACCATCCACCCCAACCTTAAATTCACCTGGACCATCTCTAAGACCTCTCTCTCCTTCCTGGACCTCTCTGTCTCCATCTCGGGCAACCACCTAGAAACCGATATCCATTTCAAGCCCACTGACTCCCACAGCTACCTAGAATACACCTCCTCCCACCCACCTTCCTGCAAAAATGCCATCCCCTATTCCCAATTCCTTCGCCTCCGCCGCATCTGCTCCCAGGATGAGGCATTCCACTCCTGTACATCTCAGATGTCCTTGTTTTTCAAGGACCGCAACTTGCCCCCCTCAGTGGTCGAGAACGCCCTCAATCGTGTCTCCCACATTTCCCGCAACTCATCCCTCACACCCCGTCCCCGCAATAACAACCAAAAAAGAATCCCCCCCCGTCCTCACGTACCACCCCACCAACC